GTCGAATCGGCAGAATTTTAGTAGACTATCCATGCGATTCTTTGACATTGTCGCTCGAAATATTGATCGGCCACTATTCATGGACCATAATTCGTTGAGATTCTCGTTTTGAGATCTTTGAACGCCCACAAGAATCAAGAATCCAATAAACACCCAAATTTCCTCACTATCAGTATCCTTCCATTGCCATTTCTTGTCAGGATTCGGTTCATTCCATGCTTCAGCAGCCTTCCTTGCTCTTCTATTAGTTTCTGTGACGATGATAAGTATCATTTCTTCTGTAAATAAGAGTTGAAAAGCACCTTTCACTGTTTGCATCCTTGTTGCTGAGGGCCCAACACCATGTAACTGTCGCAGAATATTTGCTTGTGGTATTTTTCGTTTCGGAGGTTCGGATGTACTCCACCGTCGACCAGATTTTGACAAAAATACTTCCGACTCTGATCGCTGATCGAGCTTCGGACGACGTCTTGGCGGTTCTTGATCACTGTCGCTTTCGCTTTCCACCGAACTGACATCGGTTTCTTCTTGCCAATCATCTTCATCCGTTGCACCAGTTTCAGAGTCCTCCGAGCCGTCTTCCAGTCCGTCCGGCAGTTCTGAATTTTCCTCATGTGTTATCGTCGCCAGAATTATCGTCGAGAACTGAACGATCTTCATCTGAGCTTTCGTCGTAATAATCATTAAAGCTTCTCTTTGAACCCATTGCTCGAATTCTCAACTTGTTCAATGCAATAAGGATTATGTTGAGAATTGTTATGTTGATGTTGAAAATGTGTAAGACTAGTTTGGATTCAAATTGAAAATTATTCGGCAATTTCAACTGCCCTTATATAGTTCAACTATACATTCTATAATGATAGGGAATATTCTAAAACATTCTAATATAATGAATGACACAAAGGTCAAGTTCAATTCAATTCCAGAAACTTATAACATAAGATAGAACCTTCTAGAATATTCTCTAGAGCTGGCCGAACGCATGAAATACTGAATTGACGATATCTTAACAATAAAAATGTGTAATTGGTTCTACTCTCTGGGGTCCGCGTGGACCCCAAATGATGAAAACACGTTGGTGCGTACTTCTAGCTCTTTTATCATATTGACGATGTCAGGATCGAAGGCAATAATATAATCGATATATCCTTCTGACTTTCGTTAGTGCATATCTAGAAGATGAGAGGTTGATCTATTACTGTTGAGGAAAGAGAAGCATAATATTCGAGCTGGGGTCCGCTCGGACCCCAGGTGGTGAAATGAGGGTTAAAAAATATCCGGAGCTCGACAATGACGATGATGTCGACTATGAAAGTAACTCTGCCACTGCCTCTATTGCGATCGGAACCGACTGTTACTTTGATAACAATACCATTTTATCACAGTTTACCAGACTATTTCAGCTTTTGGAATTTAAAAATGAATACAAAGGTCACCAGATTGAAATTATAGTGGACAACGCCACCACACATTCGAAAAAAGATTATTCGGTCACTGATTTTTCTAAAAAAGAAGGAACACGTTGCCCGGTACAGACAATAGAGTGGCTCGATGACCAGGACAAACTTCAAACTTTGAACTGTTTCTATACGAGTGGCAGCAAGAAGGGAGAAAGTAAGGGAATGGTAGTTCTCGGAAAAGAACTCTGATTGAAAGTGTCGAAAAAGATGACGGTCGACGAGCTAAGAAAAGAGTTGGGAAAACATCCAGCCTTTCAAACTATAAGTTCCTCCTGGCGTTTTGCTAAGTTTCGGCCTTTGGATTTAAGTTTTTGCTACTTATAGATCAGCAAGTTGGAGAAGTTAGGAAATCGTTACGGTGTGCGTGTATTGTTTTTGCCAAAATACCACTGCGAGATGTCAAGTATTGAAGGCCTGTGGTGCAGTATGAAAGCTTGTGAGTCAATAACTGAAGCTATTCATGCCTTTCGCGTGCTGCAACTGTGTGACTCTGATGCAAATCTTATCCGTGTGTTTTAGACTGTCGGAAGTATGGTGAGCAGTCGTTTCCGAAAATGGTGCAGTTAGTCGGCGAAGCACGGAAGAATTTTGACTATAAAAAGATTGATCGTAAATTGCATCGCACATTTTGGCGAACTTTACGTGCATACGTCCAAGGTCAAAGTTACAAAGACGTGTTATGTATGTTCTTTAGTAATCTATCAAAAGACAATATAATTTCTCATCGAAAGATTACGAACTCTAACTTGAACGTGAATTAGTATTTTTGGAACAGGCTTTTTGATATCTTGAGCTTTAGAACAGATATTTTCAAAGAGCTTTTCCAGATTGGTCTATTTTTTTAATAGAGCTTTGATAGAAACGTTCATCAGAAAAGTTAATAAATGGCAAAAAAATGCAAACCTTGGCTGAGAATGGTTTATCACATGGGTTTTTAAGGTTAGATTTCCAGAGACCTCATAGAAATCCACGGAGGCACCTCAAATTGGCGCTCATTAGATTCGCCGTGGTTTATAACGTCTGTAGTGTGAGTTTGAGTCCATTTGAGTGGAACCTTAAATTTCTAGAGAGAAATCACTTGGCCGATTTTCGTTCAAACTGCTTCTTTTTGATCCTTTATTTTTTTCCTTCGCGCAGAAAAACAAAATCGAAAAAAACTCTTCATAGAATTGTTCTACGTTTCAAGCCGGATCTTTTGGCGCATGATTGAAGTCTCTAGCATTTTATTCTATGGAGTTGATGGATTTTTGAGATGGCGAGCTCAATCCTTGAGGCGCGCTTGAAAAACCGCAGGGCACATTTTCATATCTAGCCGAAAAACCTTGAGAAAGAGTTTTCTAGAATCAGTTTTTGGCGTAGAATCCGAAAATATCTTCAAAAAAATTTTTGGTCGCAGTGCAAGAAAACAGGAGCACGCTTTCTGAAAATGAGCGGATTTTGAGGTTTTCGGCCCGACCTCAGTATTTTGAGTTTTTCTCCATGAAAGTTTAACTTTTTCAAACTAAAAAGGAGATATTCGGAATCAGCACAATTTTTTCTATCAGGGTATGCGTATTTTGGCCAAAAACGAGAACCCGTGATAAGTTTGAATTGCGCGCGCCTTACAAGACAGTGTATTTATTTTTCAGTTTAGGTGCTTTCCAAGGAAATTGGTTTTTCGAAAGACCAAGTTTTGAAACGGGTTTTTCTCTAAGTCAAAGCGATTTCAGAACGTTTTTCTACAGTGCATCGGAAAGATCAGATCAGATACTGTCTACTGCTATTGGAAATATTTTTCAATGACGACTTTTGTAATGGAGTTTAACCTTCTGATTTGCAAAAAAAGCTGTAATTCCGTAACGGACTGTTTTTTCAAATTTTTATATCATCTAGCGATTCTAATCGAAAACCAAGTGGATATTCTGAAAGCTGGTTTCAAGCTACACAACTTTGCTTCAGAACACATCTCAAAAAAAGCTTTCATTGAGCACAAAAATGTAAAACTTAGACATCACTGAAAAAAAAAGTCCATTTTCGGTAATTCCGTAACGACCGTTATTTTTTTAATAACTCCCTATGGGATGACTTAAACTCAACGAAATTTTCGGACGTGATAAAACTCGGTACTGTCTACTTCTGGTAAAAGCGTCATTGCATTTGGATCATTCTCAGAAAAGTTATGGCACGTGAAAGTTGAAAAAAAGTAATTCCGTAACATTTGGACAAGCCGCACTATAAAACATGCGATTCACAAATTCAATTTCATCAGATAAGCTCATGTTATTCCAAAGAAAATATTAGGGTATTAACTATGATGAAAGAATAGTTATGACGAAGACAGTTTTGGAATGCGACTGCTCTGTAGATGAAAAGTAAGAGAAATCACAGTTTTCATTTCTCAGTTTTTAAATTACACAATCGCTGCATAGATGGGAAATAGGTTCACTGAGTTTTGTTAAATAGTGCTACCCATTCAAATAGCAGTGTTTTGATTTAAATTTTGCACATGTTTCTCATGAAGATAAATACAAATTAAAGTGGGCAAGGACGTGTACATAAAATTTAAACAACACTTATCTTTCGCTGTGTCGGATTTAGATTGACCGATGGCAGTATGTGCAATGAACAATATTCAAAATTTTCGCTAATTATCCGATATGTGATTTTTGTATTCAATTTTTATATTATAACGCGCATATTTATACAGATTTTACAATAAAAATTTACTACAGCTTTTTCTACACCTTTGTGCATAAAATCATTTATTCTACATTCTTATCGTTATCAAATGTATTTTATTTTTATTTCATATTTCTCGTCGAAAACGTCAACCATCGTATTATTTATTATTTATCGCGGAAAAGGAAACATGTACATCATATCGTCTTCTTTCTTCTGCAATGAGAGAGTGTATGTAGGTTATATACTACATATATTCTATACAGCGATTGTGTAATTTAAAAACTGAGAAACGAAAACTGAGCCTGTATGGTTCACCGAGCTCTTTGTGGTTATATCCAGGTGGAAGATGGTTTTTTCTTTTGTTCTCTGTGCTCATCCATTTGTGTTATAAAATGCGAATTTACCAATTCTCTTTACGAATTCGTAGATGCCAAAGCATATCCGACGAATTCGTAAATTCGCGTTTTATTATCAATAAATTTTTCTGTGAGGTTAAGAATAGATAGATTCGTCTCTTCGTATCGATTCGCATAGTTCTCATTTCAATTCGCCGTTGTCTTTACGAATTCGTAAAATGCGAATTTATATTGAATTGCAAAATAATAGAATAGTAAAATGCGAATTATTGTATCATTTTTATGCTCAAAAATTGCGATTTGTCAATTCGTTTTAGACACTTTGTCCACATTAACGAGATCAGCATGTTTGCGCTTGTCGCAAGGAAACATTTAACACCGGTACATCAATAACATATAAATGTTCTGAATAGAAAAGGTATCCATTGTGTCAGTTTTGACTAAAAGCAAAAGAAAGTTCAGAGGGGTATCAAGTATATTCGTCGAAAGTACGTAATCATCATACACGCGATCTAACAAGTCGTCGTTCATGCAATAAGTTTCGCATTGAAGAATCATTTTGCCAAAGCCTGCACTGTTTGAAAGGTACAATATACGTGGGTGTGAGAGCTTTTGCTATTAATTAATTAATTAATTATTCCGAGATCTTTTTTGCATAAATAGAAAAATTTTTCTATTCTAAAATGTTTTCTGCGGAATAAAAAATTAAATTAAATTTTTCGAGATCTATTATTTACAACCAAAAAGCGTGGAAGAACTGTGCGACACTTTATTTCTTTTAGAATTTTATGCTCTTTTAGATGGCTATATTGAACATATTTTTAACAAAATTCTCTAGGGCTTAGAGCTCCGCTGGAGGGTTTTTTCTAGAAAACTTCAAAACCTTTCTCCTGAACTTTTGACGCATAGTGCATTCGATAGAGAAATTCAAGGGCTATCGAAATTACTATTCAGATTTGACCTAGCTATTCGACTTCGTCGAAAAATTTCAAAAGTCCAGTGGCTCTATATTTAGTAATTTTACAACCGCTATTTCTGTTACTAGATCGACTTTTCTAGGCGTGCGGTTCGGAAAAAAGTTGTTTTTACGAAAAGAAAACCCATTAACTCCTCTACAAACTTGCCTATAAAAGCTTTGCAGATGCACAGCTCAATTCGCAAAAAATCAGAGCTGTATCAGGAGTTCTCAAAAATAGGAACCTTTTCTGTCACAGCATTAATCGGCGAAAAATCTTTCTGGAAGCTCGAGTCTAGAACCGAAAATCTTCACTTTCATATCGTAAGTAGAGTTTGGTGAGCTGCGTCAAATGGCGCCAGAACAAACTTTCTAGCTCCTACAGTTTTCGAGAAAAATGCAAATTACAGTGTCAAAAATGTCACAGCGTTACCTTTGGACAAGCCATTCAATGGATGGAAAAAAGTGCAAGAAAAAAGCTAAAATTTGAAACTTGAATCGGTCATTTGTATACTGTTTATATATTGATGATAACTTTGAAAGAAGAGCGAGACGATTGCATAAGGATATCGATTTAAATAAATCGCAATTGCTTTTACCCTGTGCAGAAAAGATGGTAATACACATGTTTCATATCTTCAAACCACCGTTCTTTCTAACGTAATAGCAGAGGCGGCAGAACGGTTTGAAAGCTGTGAGGGCGGATTTATTTTCCTGTAAAGTCAACGAAAACTATCAGAGTATTTTTATATCATCTCACAATCTAGTGCTATTGTGTTTATCCCCTTCTTTCCTTATGTATATATACACAATATACCACCAAAGTGTTTTTTTTAATACGAATTTTTTTCACTACTTTGTTAATTATTTCATTGTCAAACCGCGAACCTGTGAGGGTGATAAAGTCTTGACGATAAAGTCTTTTTTATTATATCAGATTCATTTGACGGATCTGTTTTGGAGCTCGTACATAATCTTAAATCGTAGCAATTTATCGGGAAACGGACAGTTGCTCACGGGGACAGTTGCTCATGGACACTTCCTCACGGACACTTCCTCACAAGGATACTTCCTCACGTGGACGGTTCCTCATATGTACCTTTGCTCACACGGACAGTTGCTCACGAGGACAATTGCTCATGAATATTGATATAGTTTGATTAATAATGAATATTAATTTTAAAATTTGATTCGATTAGCTAGAAAAGAAAATACGATTTAATCAACTGACAAATTGATTCAATCAATAGAAAAGAAATTTCGATTTGATCAACTGACAAATTGATGAATTTCCTTGTACTTATAGCGGGATGATGATTTTGCGTCAGTTGTCAATTTAGGAAAAAAACAGTATTCTATCGGAGATTACATTACAGGTACATTTCTTGACTATATAAGGGAGATACAGCAAACAGTCTGTACAGTCATTTTGTTTTAATCGTAAATATGGTCACTATATCTAAAACAAGTAAAGGGACACCTTTACTGTTGAACGATGGTTTTTGTTATATACTGGATCATAAAACCGACGAGAAAATATTATGGAAATGTGAGGTTCAAAGAAAACTTAATTGTCATGCACGACTTCATACATCGCTCGATAACAAAGTCATTTTAAAATTGATTGATACACATAATCATTCTGGAAACGCTCGTTCACAACATATTCGTCAATTTTATGAAAATATGAAAGATGAAGCATTACAAAATCATATCAATCCATACAATGTTCTTACTCAATGTTACATGGGTGTCCCAGACGAAATTCGTGCAATATTACCAAATAATTCAAATTTGAAAAGAGATGTTCGTCGTTGGCGTCAGGATAAATGAGTTGCAAGTATTCCAGCTGATAAAAATTTTCAAACTGTCCCTGATTTATACAAAAAAACATCTCGTGGTGATAATTTTTTAAGAACAGATACTGGGCCAGGCAATGATCGTATGTTAATCTTAAGTACTGATGAACAGAAGCAAATTTTAGAAACTGCCACGGTAAGGATGATTTTTGCTAAGAATTTATAATTGTATAATTATAATTATTCAATGCTTCTCTTTTTAGGACTTTTTCATCGATGGTACATTTAAAATTGTGCCAGAAATTTTTTTTCAACTTTTTGTAATACATGCTGTTTATCGAGATCATGTATTTCCTGTTGTATTTTCACTTTTACCGAACAAGTGTGGTAAGATATACCAAAAGATGGTCAATGAAATAATAGAATTTGCACCAAATTGGCATTCTCAGAAAATAATGATAGATTTTGAAAAAGCATTGATCAATACATTTGGTAGCAGCTTTCCATCAGCAGAACTCAGTGGCTGCTATTTTCATTTACAACAAAGTATTCTTCGATCTTTACAGGTACATTCTTGACAAAAATATACGCATAGAATGGGGGAGATGCACCTTCTAAGGGTAGAGATGGCTACGAGTCATAGAAAAACAAATGATTAAGGTTGACACTTTTTTTTCGTTTCAGACTCATGGTTTAAAACAACAATAGAAACTGATTTAACATTTTCAGATAATATTCATAAAATTCCCGCTTTAGCTTTTCTTGAACCTGATTCTGTTATTGATGGTTTCGAAACATTGTGCGCACGTTTAGATGATACTTACCAGGGCATTCTCGATTATATGGAAGATACATATATTGGTAAGTCTTGCTGAAGTAGTCGATTTCTTCTAGGATTACCCCTCTTTCACAAGCTGTTTCGTTTTAATTCTTTTTAGGACGAATACGAGGTGCAATCAGAAGACAACATCTTTAATATATTGACTTCTGGAATATGCGTAATCGAGTATTAAATAATACACATAAAACAAACAATAATGTCGAAGCTTGGCATCGAAAAATGAATTCAGCTTTTCTATGTAATCATCCAAATTTATGGACTTTTTTGGAAAAGCTTATAGAACAAGAAAATATGCTTCATACAGATATAATCAAAGCAAAATCTGGTCAAGCACCAACAGCATCAAAACAATACATATCAGTTCATAAACGACTTCATAACTTAGTAGAAAACCCACATCCTTCTGTTTATGAACAGCTTGAGGCAATAGGACGTTTAATATCTTTATAATTGTTGTCAAAACTTTAAATTCATTACTTACTTTCACATTACTACTTTCACTCATCATTACTGAATAAATTTTTTTTTTTTATCACACTATATCAATATTCATGAGCAACTGTCCGTGTGAGCAAAGGTACATATGAGGAACCGTCCACGTGAGGAAGTATCCTTGTGAGAAAGTGTCCGTGAGGAAGTGTTCATGAACAACTGTCCTAAACCCAGATAAAATATGTATGTATATTGAAAGTATAAAGGAAAGAAGTGACATACATATTGTTGAAAGGATCATAGCTGTATAACGGTCGCATAATTAAGAAAAAAAGACAATAGAAAACTAATGTGATATATGTACTCGTCGTTGATGTATAATTAAATGCTTTAAACACATTCAGGAAAAATAAAGAGAGGAATAAATATTTTAATTTTATCTTTGAATGAATGAATTTTATTTTTGTAAAAGAAAACATGGAAATCACAAGAAAGATAGAGCTTGTTTGAATGTAACACTAGCAGTTTTAAGCTGAAAATCAAGATTGAATAACATCGTGCGCGCAATTCCTCTCTTTTATCTACATTTTTTGTTAAAGTCTAATTAATCAATTATGCTTTTTGTGGCAGTTCTATACTTCTTCTGTTGTTAGAGTACAATTCACTTTTAATGCTTTGTGAACATCTATAATTGACATAATATCTAGATGTTTAGATATTCTGATATTCAAATGTTAGATATTTTGATATTTAGAGAGACGGAGAGGGAACGGGGAAGCGGGGAGATGAGAGTGAGTGAGAAGAACTGAACATCTTAACATCTAAATATCTAACAGTTGAATATCAGAATATCTAAACATCTAGATATTATAGCAAATCTAATCAGTTTAATTATACGTATTTTAATAAAATGAAAATTCCTGTTGTGACTTTCTTATGTTTACTAAATTTATTCATAGATATTATCATCATCACTGTCTAAATCTGTCGGTTTGCCATTGCTGGCACCACCTGCAATTAGCCCAATGCCATGTGTTGCCACCACCGGTATAAGCATATCGATAATATGTTGAACTGTAATAACAATGTTATTCAGACAAAAGTTGAAAATATTGATCAAGTGTTTATGTTTGCCACTTGGAAGTTTAGAAATATGGATATGGTTTTTTATCGAAAGAAAAAAGACCGTAGCCTTCATAAAATTCTTACTAGTCAATGCCAACGTAATGCTCATCAGTGACTCGCTTGATCTTCCAGGTGAAACTCATCTTAAAAGATCATACAAGATCTACCATTTTCTTATGAAATCTTGTAATAAGATCTTACTGCATGAACTTACAAGATCTTGTCTTAGAATGTTGTAAAACTGTATCTTATTGAAAAATCATACGATTTCCTGTTATAAGATCTTATATGATCTTGCAAGAATCGATGACTCATTCTTACCACATAAATTTTGCTTTAGTATTGATTATATATATGATAAAACTTAGAATTTCTTTCTTCGTCTTCACACATCAGCTGAGCGCAAATAAAGTGCATGGCTATAAGGGACGTGGTTAAACACGATCCGAAGGACGTTTCTGTCCTACCTATGCCAGAAAATATTATGAATACTTAGCCTGAGGATACTAGTTCGACTTACAAAATCCTTAGAAATCTTATGATTTCTTGGAATAAGATCTTATAAGACTATATCAGACCATAGAAAATCTTGATACCACTTCATAGCTGAGCGTGAGACGAATGTACTTAAACTCAATTGTTTGAAAATGACTTTTTCAAAGATGTTTATAAAGATGGTAGAAAACTGTATTTAAAAGAATAGCACATTTCTTTAACGCCCGTGGCAACGGGCGATCGCAGTAACTTATAGGTCTATAATTTGTTGAAACTGTCTCCAGCTTTAAAGAAAGTGTGACTTCAAATAACTTTCACTAATATCTATCAATCATTTAAGGCAATGACAAGCATTTCGAAATAAAAATATTCCAACTTGCTAAATTTCATGTGTGAGGAGAACGAGATAAACTAAAAAAGGTAATGCAATGACTAACCTTATGATTCATTCAATAACGTTACATTAATATTGCCACGCCGACACTATTCACATATACAGTATATGTATATAAAGGTATGTGATAAAAACATTCATTTGAAATAATTCTATAAGATTACGACAAGAGCGTGATGTCAGACTTCGAATTAGACAGAGAATTAGATTATTTGTTCAAAATTTTGATTATTGGAGATAGTGGAGTAGGTAAGCACAGCTAACTAACTCGTTCATCACTCGTCTATTTGGATGTTTTCTTTTCCAGGAAAAACATCTATTTTCCAACGTTTTGCAAACGATTCTTTTTCAGCAGATTATACATCGACTATAGGAGTGGATTTTCAAATCCGAACAATTGATATTGATTCAGAATATGTGAAACTTCAGATATGGGATACGGCTGGTCAAGATCGTTTCAAATGTGTTGTTAGAAATTTTTATCGTGGAGCTCATGGTGTATTACTGTGCTTTGATATAACAGATAGTGAAAGTTTTCGGAATATTGAAGAATGGGCAAATGAAATACAACGATATTGTCCTCAAAATATCCCGATTTATTTGATTGGAACAAAATCGGATTTAAAGACAGAACGAGCAGTTTCTTATGAACAGGCAAAAGAATGTGCTGACAAAAGAGGCATTCAATATATTGAGACAAGTTCAAAAACAAACTATAATGTGCAAAAGACGTTTGTTAATTTTGCCAAAACACTAATTGAACATTCAGATAAACTGCTAACAATCGATGATTCAAAAGAAACATTAAAGTCCAATCTAAAGAACGCTCGTAAAGTAAATGCAGTCAAATCGTCATCATGTACCGGTGAAAATTCATGTTCATTACTGTAAATGTACTGCTGCGAATTTTTTTTATTTTAATAAATTTCGTATTCGTGTACTTTCAAATTTTGAGTTAAATATCGATAGGAAGAGCGACAAGAAGGGCGAACTAGTATTCTAGATTATTGAGATTTATTAGACTGAATGTAAAAGGCGAGTGAATTTCATAGTTAGAAGGAGAATCGGTTCATTATTAACCATAGAAGACCGTTTTTTGTTTCATTTTTAGTTAATGTGATGTCCTCCCATGTACTGATAAGTCTAGCGCGATCCACTTTTCCAAATGCGAATATCTTAGTGTGCTATGCTTTTTGAGAGAGAAAATGCAGAGCTCTCTGTGCGTAAGCACTTGCTTTGCTGCGTCCAGAAGTCTCCTAGCATAATAGTAGATAGTTTGCAACTGACTTCGGGAAGAGCGAAGCGGGTTTCGTGGTCTACTTAGGTCATAACAATTATTGATATAATATTGACGATTAACAACCTGCTGTCTTTGTGTATTTGTCTATTTTCTAAAATTATTCGACTATTTGCTCGAAGAAAAGACATGAAATGTTTTGAACCTAATGTGCTACGCCAAACTATAGCAGGTGCAGATTCTTCGCTCAGAATCCTTCTGCTTCAAGGAATTTTAGTTCATTTACGTGTCACATATCTAGTCCTTGTCACATACTACCGCTTCATGTATTCGCCAAATTTTTCTAGTCGACCATGTCCGACAAAATTTAATCTATCAAAATAGTTTCTAATCATGGCATTGAGTGCCGTAACCAAGATGATAAATTTTTTAATCACAGATGATTCGAAAAAACTTTCCACCAAATGCCTTGAAATAAATTGATTGTGCGTGGATATTTATGACTACTAAGTCAAATACTTGCTGAAGTAAAATCTTGATTAACGCTATTCTGTGGCATTTTATCTCCAAATACCAGTACTTTTGTTATAACCTAAGTAGTGCAACCACCATACTTTGATTTCGCTTGGGTAGGTTGGGTCGTTGATCAATGGTTCTTTGAAGCAGCAGTGCTAGCACCGAGGTGAAACTCTAATGTAGTGGAACTGTTTCTCATATGGTTTGTTATATCCAATATAAATCCAACAGTAGTATAATATTCTATCCCTTTACTTTATAATGAAATGATATACCTACATAGAATCAGAAAACATACTTCACATATACACTTTCAAAAGTCTCGGAGCAAACAAAGCTGAGAAAGCCCAGAACGAAGAATGGAACATGATGAATGTTTGAATCTTTTTTATTTTAATAAACTTCGTATTCATGTACTTTCAAATTTTGAGTTAAATATCGATAGGAAGAGCAACAAAAGGAGCGAACTACTATCTATACCAAAATATAGAGCGGGTCGTTGCTTTTTTAATAACTTAATAATGGGAATAGTTAGAGCCTTACGCTTTTCAGCAAACGAAAAACGACAGTTAACTTTATATAAAGAGAAAAAGTAAGGAAATAAAGTGGACAATCCATACTTTTTTGCAAATTTCTCTTGATCGATCATAAACTTTTCTTAACAAATATGGATTGTTTTCATATGATTGTAGTAATTGATTTCGAAAATTGTCATAAATGAATAATAGATAATGAGTATCTGTTCTTGCATAATCGATCATATCTTGTGGTAATGGTCTGAAGTACAAAAAAAACAGCAAATCATTAGATCAATTGAGAACCAGTGTAGACAGGGTGACCGGCAGTTTTCGCCAGTCTTCGTTTTGATATTTATCTTTGTTTGTATCAACACCACCAAATTCTTTTAAAAGACAAGCTAATGATAATCCTGATAAATATAATTCTTCTGCTGCGCAAAATGTATCAAACATATTAACCATATAAACACCAAAATCTTTTTGTAACCATTCAATATCATTTTCTGACGAATGTAGCACCTACAAGAAAGAACTATCAGTTACAGTATTTTTGTCGTAGTAAAATGCACTTTTATGTTAACTTATAGTCCAGCAAAGACAAAGAAAATTTTACTTACTTTAACTATATTCACATTTGTAAATACATTATTTAAAATATGTAATTAATCTCTTAATGCCAGAGCATCAATTACATAATCAGCTGTACGTGATGATATTTGAACCAGACATGTAAAACCATAATACGATCGATATTGATGAGCTTAAATCGACTGCTATTTCCGATTGTAATTGAATATGATCGGCCATATTTTTTAATTTTTCTCCCGTATCAACATATTCATATTTTGTGTCTTGCAGTGATTCTGGTGTCTAAAAAGGAAAAAAATGTTAAGTCATACATAAATTCGTTCTGTTTTACCTGTTCTTCACATAATTCTAATTGTTCCGGTGGTACTTCAAACGATTCTAGCTCATAATAATACGCATTTTTCAATCTGAAAAAAAAGTTCAATGAATTTTCATAACGCATATCAAAGAAACAAAATTTTTCTTACAAATCCGAGTATTTTTTCTTTATTTCATTCAATGAAATTTGTCCACGCTGAATTTCTTCGATGATTTCTGTAGATGTAAACAAATCTAAAAGTAAACGACAGGTACACAAAAAGAATGTTTATTTCCTTGTGAAGATATTGAGGAGATTTTCATATATACCCGGTAATGGTACCATGGTATTTGGTTTTACTTTAATACTTGGGAAAAATGGTATTGCTGAATCATAATTATTTTTTGTGTAAAATTCAACTGTGATTTAATAATATCCTTCTTTTTGTATTCATCACGGGCACGGAATGCGAGAGAATGAGAACGTTTTCTATGCATCTATAACAAGCACAAAAAGTTTGTGAAAGAGAGCAATAACTGTATACAAGAAAATTCGAATTTTAAGCGACAGAAGATTACAGAACCAACTTTTAAAATCCGGTTCAGGTTCGTAAAAAGTCGTTTTCTGTTCCATTCTATCCTCTTTTAAGGATGCTACCGAAAACCAAAGAAAATTTTTCAAACCGGTACCGGTATGAATTTTAAGGCCGACCGGTATACTGGCTTAGTACGAAGTTTAATACGTCCATTCATATTCTGATATTTTGCAGTACGATAGGACTTTTCAACGTAGCTTCCTAAATGCGGCCGAAATTTAAGCCAATTAGTATAAAAGTGGGCGCAATTTGGAACGAGTAAATTTGTATGATTCTGCGTTTCCAAATTGCGGCCACTTTTTAATTAGTGAGTAATCAACAATCGTAATTTAAAATATAGATATATAAATTAGTCGCTTTTGAGAAAAAATAGAAGTAGAAACATATATACGAATTGATGACTATATATTTATGTATTATATACAAAACAGCTATATCAATAAAGAATTTAATCTTCGTCACTACTATCTCCGGCATCTTTTATAACATCTATATACCGATGAGAAAGAGCTCTTAAAACTTTTTGATATCTATCAAAGTCTTTATCTTCAATATATTTTGTTTTTGCTAATTTAAGCTTCACATCATCACGTATGTTTTTCA